AAGATGGCTACAAAGTTATTACAGTGGTGGGACCAGCAGAGGGCATAATGGTTACATCACTGGACTCTGACGTAGTTGGCCATGGTTCAAGCCCCAGACCCAGCAGCTTAAAACTCACACAAAGTGTGTGTGCGTGAGCCCAAAATCTCACGAGGAGAATGGAGGAGAAGGGATTGCAGCATGGCCATCCCATCTCGAGGATGATTTCTCACTTTCTGTCTGTCTGTTGTCTCTGTCTCTCTGGAAAGGGCATATGCCCTATAACAAAAACCTCTTTAAAAAAAAAGAGTTATTATTACAGTTGTCAAGTATGCAGTGCGGTACATTTTCTGCAGTTTTGATTTAATACTGTGTCTTTACCGTTGCTTATGTTTCCCCACAAAGTTTTTTTTTTTTTCAGATTATCACAAATCTCCAAAAATGTCCCATTGTATTCACTGAAAAAAAGAACACATATAAAGAGACCTGCTCAGATCCAGCCTGTGCTACGAAAGGGCCCACTGTCAGAGGCATACTCTGTTTAAGGATGATAGGCGGCTTTGTGTTGCTGGTGCCAAGGACAGAAAATGCACAGAGGATTTCTCTCTTCCTTCTCTTCCTCCGGTGGTTTCTCTAGGACCTTGCTATTTCCTTTCCACCCTGTAAATTGCTGGTTTCCATCAGTAGACAAGGATAAACTTTCCCTTTCCTCTGTGAGTGTACCAGAGTAGATTAAAGCGTTTATAAATGAAAACGGTTGAAATACCAGCCTTGATGAAAACATCTGAAACCATTTCCTTATTTTTGCCAAAAACTTGGTTTAGCTCATAGACTCGTCAAGGTACCTTAGAAAACACACACCAATTTTGATCCAGGTCTGGAGACCTGCTTGCAAAGATTTGGCAGGAATACACTCACCTTTCCCTCTCTCATCTAGAAGGCAGAAGGTGCAGGAAAGATGGTGAGGGCCAAGACAATGGCAGAGTGGAATAATGTGATGCCCCGGGAGACCGAACCACACGGGGAGGACCAGGATCAGGGCTGGCTGGGCGGCTGGGGATGAGGACAGCATCGAGACCTGGTAGTTCTCCTGCTCTCTCTCTCTGTTTCTTTCACTCATGCGAGAAATAAGTTTTAAAACTACAAGAAAAATAAATCAAAAGTATGAACCTGATTTATTGACACCGATTAGAAAGATTTTACCTAGGAAAGCTCCCATAAGGATATCAACCTCAGGTAGAATTCCTATAAATGTGCCAGGAGAAAATGGTTGCTTTTAACCAAAATCTCATTTCAATTCTTCCCATTAGAAAAATAAAGTGGAACCAAAAAGGAACCCATCACAGCACACAAAAGAAGTCTCTGTAAATGTAACAAAAAGCAGTGTTCTCAACTCTGGTCAACACTTAACACCAAACCTAGGAAAACCGGTATTCCAAACCTTGATGAACATGATTCAAATAGCACATTCGCTACTAGAGTGAAAAGTGGAAAATCACTATAAATATTTGCCTTCAAAAAAAAGCTGCTGCTATCATTCCAGTGACACTAGAAGAATACCACATTGCCTCAAACACACATAGATTTGTCTAATCCAATGGTTCTGAACCCCCGGATAATTCTGCCCCCAGGGGAAATTTGGCCATTTTTCATTCTGACACAGTTTTTATTCTCACATCTGGAGGGGTCGTAGCCTCTAGTGAGGAGAGCCAAGAATATTGCTAAACACCCTCCAATTCACAGAGCAGTCCTCAACAGTAAAGAAGCGTCTGAGGCAAACTGGGTCCGTGCGTGATGATCTAATGCAGCTGGGATGTGTTAGCAAACACCGAAGGTTAGACAGAGTTATAAGCACCCTTTTTTATAAAGAATTATTTTATTTACAATTAATATTTTTGGGTTTTTGGTTTCGTTCTTTTCTGAGAGATTTTTGCTGTAAGGTGCATGTGCTCACTGGAGAGACAGAGACAGAGAGACAGAAAGTGAGAAATCACCCCCCAGGGGGGATGGCCACACTGCAATCCCTTTTCCTCCATTCTCCTCTCAGGATTTTGTGCAAACACAACATGCATCTGGCACAAGTTTTAAGTTGCCGGGTCCAAGACTCAAACCACAGTAGACCAAATGGGAGTCCAGAGCCTTAACCACTATGCCACCTGCTGGCCCATGTTGTTGTTTTTTGTTTGTCTGTTTTCAATCTGACCAAAGAGAGGGAGAGGGAAAGTGAGAAAGCAAGCGACCAGGTCCAAGACTCGAACCATAGTTAGCCATATGGGAGTGTAGCACCTTAATGACCACGCCACCTGCTGGCCCCCATAGGCTATGGCTATGTCACTGGACTCCCATGTAGCCAACCACGGTTCGAGTCCGGGACCCGGTGGCTTAAACTCATGCCGGGCGCGTGTGCGTGCATGCCCAAGATCCCGAGAGGAGAATGGAGGAGAAGGGTCTGCGGCATGGTCATCCCCCCTTGAGGTCTCACTTTCTGTCTCTCTGTCACTCTCTGTCTTTCTGGCGAGCGCACACACCCTATAGCAAAAGCCTCTCTGAAAATAAGATGTCCTATCAAGCTAGGTCCTAAAGATGAGTGGATAGATAAATGCATGCTGCCATGTACAGATTAGTAGTCATGATAGTTAAGGGATAGAAAAGACCATAGTCCACTATTCTGGCCACGTTCTCTGGCAGTATACTTTCTACATTTACTAGCTTATCATGTAAACCTCAAGAACATCTGCCTACATGGAAGTCTGTGATCCAACTGGATATTGCTGGCCCTACCTATTACAAATTAATATTTTCTCAAAGTTAGGAAATAACTGGATTCCTCATGTCCAACTATCAAAAGTGACCAGACTTCAGATTTCAATAGTGGGTCATATGTGGTTATATTTTTCATGAGAAAAAATTCATATCTGAACATCTCTTTCTCTGATGTTACAATCCATTAAAAGTTTACTGTCCAGGGACCAGCAGTTAGCATAATGGCTATGTCACTGGATTCCCATGCAGTCAACCATGGTTCAAGTCCCGGACCCGCTGGCTTAAACTCATGCCGGGCACATGTGTGCGCGTGCCCAAGATCCCGAAAGGAGAATGGAGAAGCAGGGATTGCAGCGTGGCCATGTCCCCTGGGGGGTGATTTCTCACTTTCTGTCTCTCTCGTTCTCTCTGTCTTTCTGGCGAGCGCACGCGCCCTATAGCAAAAACCTCTTCGGGGGGCACCCTATAGCAAAAACCTCTTCCCCCCCCCCAAAAAAAAAAAGTTTACTGTCCAGCTCCATGAAATGTATTTTTTAAATAATTTAATTTTATTCATTACTTTTTTAAAAAAATTTTGCTGTAGAACACATGCACTCACCAGAGAGACACAGAGAGAAAGTAATAAAGTCAACCGCCAGGTCCAGAACTCGAATTGTTTCGGCCATGAGGGAGTCCAGAACCCTAACCACTGCCCCCCCCCACATGGTGACCCCAATTCCATGAAATTTAAAAGCCACACTGAGAAAGCAAGCTGATTTTGACTATAAACATAAAGACAGCTACAAAGGGAAGCCTTCTATAAAAAGAAAGGGACATAGTGAATGAAGGGGAATAAGATATACAAAGGCTGACAAGTTCTCTCTAAAAATAGCGTAGTCCTTAGAAGTTGTTTTATTTCCCCGTAAAAGTTTCCTTGGGTGTTTCAACAAAGAAAGACATTTTCTTGGAAATTTTTTTTTAACGTCTCTAGTTCCAAGTTTGCTGAAGGCATTCACTTCTCTATGGTCTACAAGAACGATCTTTAAATCATTAAGATAGTCATTAAAATGTAAAGGAATCCTATTAGTTCAGAAATCCATGTCTTAACCACCCCATACACTTGACAGAAAGAAAAGTATCCGGTAACTGATAGAAATCTATCTGATTCTGAATGCCCGTCTCAAGCTAACAAAGCAAGCACTGTTTGGCAAGAATGTAGAAAGATGGGCAGTTGAGTGGTTGAATTTTCTGAGACACTGAAAGATGAAGACAAAACTATGGCTCCAGGGATGAACGGGACTCTACCTCATGTTACCTTCTGGATGTAACCATGAAACAGTAATAGAAATCTCTGTCCTTAAGTTTAAGGAAAGTTGAACAGAAAAGCCCCCAATCAATTTAGAAAGGGGGAAAAGATAGTGTCAAAATGGCCCTAACTTTTCAAAAGAGGACATTCAACGTCATTACAGTGCAAGCTCCAGTTTCAGAGAGTTGAGGACAAAAAGCAGAAAACCCCAAGGATTTCTAATGTGCAGCGAATGGCAGCAATTTTTGCAGACAAACGTGGTGAGACTTCTCTTTAGTCTGGTTAACTAAAAAGCTGTGTTTTACACGACCTCGATTAAATTAGACACTGCCATTCCAGCTTCTGCAAACAAGGAACAGCAGCAGCCTCAGCAAAAGAGTGGCTAAGGGGAGACAGTGTGTCCACAGTTTCCCCTCCAAACCCCAAAGGAGGAAAGCTGCCTCCTGAAGGCTCTGGCCAGCCAGGCAGCCTCACTGAACACAACCAAGGTTTGTGAGCGTTGTTTTTGGCAAAGAGGTAGGTGTTACCGACGGCTTCCTGGGGCGCTGGAAGGAATGTGTCACCATCAATCAGAAAGTACACTGGGCCCGGTGTTTAGGTCACAGGGGGAGTACTGCCTCCTCCAACCCGGTCAATCATGCCAACTCCCGGAAAGGACAAGAAGGGAGACTGCAGGAGAGATATTGGTGCCCAGTGACCTGCAAGACCCAAAGGAACCCCCCAACTTGTTCTGAGGAGAAATCGGGCGCGCTCAGTTTAAGGGGAACACCAAGGGCCAAGGAGAGCGTGTGCACACTCCCCTGGGGATCAGCACTGCCCAAGCGCAGTTGTGGGGACGCCCTCGGAGGTCCTGGGGAGGAAAGAACCGGCGCCCACTTCCTTACTGGCAAGCCGGGAGCCAAGACCTAGCGGATGAATGAACTGTCCACCCGGCCGAGCCTGGCGGGACGGCAGCGGACCGCGGGGTGCTCACCTGTGGGGATGCTAACGGGCTTCTCGGAGTCCACGCCTAGGCAAGGATTCCAAGGATGGAGGGCGAGCGCCAGCAGGAGCAGCTGGGGCCGCACCGCGCACCCGCGCATCTTCAGCCCCTCGAGGGCCGGATCTGGCTCCGGCACCCCCACTCCCCTGCAGCCGCGTGCTTCTCGCGAGAGCGCAAGGACCCTCTCCCCACCCCCACCCCGGGTCCGCCCCGGGCCGGGGATTGTAGAGATCGGAGTAGACCGGCGGGATGCGCGCACTGGGGCCGCGGCGGGCTGCAGGAGCGGCTGGGAGGCCGGGGGCCGTCCGCACAGG